CAGCACGTCAGTAAGTGACCTGCATCTTGCCAACACTCTTCAGTATTCACTCCGAGTAAGTTCGTTAATGAACAAGATGCACTTGAAGTTTCTTCATTCAAGGAGATCCCTGATTTCTAACTATGTTGTATTCTTCTTCTAAACAGGCATATCTATCTATCCTGTATTTGAAAATCCCTGAAAACTTTTGCATATGGTTGCGTGGACGGATAGTAGAGTATCATAACATTGCTAGAGATCTCAAGTATCCAGAATTTATCGTGTACAAACCTCAAAATGGTGGATGCAAAGAGGTTTCCACTAGTTTCTCTCTTTCTCAGACGTACTGTAAAGCATATCATTGATAACATTGATCAGAGCCTGTTCTTTTGTCAGAACAGTATATCAGTATAAGCCCATTTCTTCCTTTGATCTGCTTATGATTAAAAAAAGACCGATTATTAAGGATACTATATGGACACACTCGCACATACTATAATTTCTGGAAAAAAATGTAAACATCTGTGTATAGGGGGTACTTTGAGTTAAAACATTAATATAACTTTTCCCTTCATATAAAGGATAAAAAGGGTAAGTTGAGTCAAACTTACTAAATGGAGGATGTAGTAATAGGGTATTAGAAATGGTATTTTTAGAGAGCTGCATAGTGCAGTTTTTTGCTATAAAGCTTCAGATTTTTCTAATAACACTCAGCAGCTTCCCCCTTCTCCCTCTTTAAGATTCCTAACTGTTATTTTTCTTTATTCTTGGCAGGGTTCCGTCATTACTTCCATTGGCTTCCTAAAGGAAGCTCCATTGGTGAATATTCATGGTTTCAATGTCTACCACAGGAATCGTTTGATACTGGTGAGTTGCTCTATCCAATGTTTTGATTTTGTAAATGGTACTTTGACTCATCTAGCACCTTCAGAAGTTTCCCCACTTCTCCAAAAGCCACTTCGCGCTTTTAGAAGACACATAGCTTTTGAGGTTTACTCTAGGACCTGATAATGACTGAAATTGATATGCATAAAACGATAAAATAGTAAATATTCCACCTGTCTTACTACAAAGTTGTTTTGCATAGTGATAAACCAGATGTCCATACCTTCAGAGTCTATCAGGACCCAAATAATTTGATGAAAAAGAAAAAGAAAAAAAGGAAGAGAAGGAAAATGGATGAGATGAGATAGTTTCGTAATTTGAACCTAATTGATATGGGGGATAGAGGGAAAGGGAGTTCTAAGGGGAAACTGTTTGCTGTGGGTCTGAAACAATGTTTCAGTATTAGTTCCATTACGCTTTTAGTTATGTATTCCTCCATATACCTAGCTTCCCTTAAACATACCTTTTGTACGCCTTCTCAATTTTTCCTTCCATCTCTTTTCTCCTCCGTTTCTGAGGTCTTATCTTTATGAACTGGCGCTAAATATATATTCTGCATTTAACCTGGTCTTCGGACAAGTATACACTATTTTGCACTGTGTTTATATCCTTTTGCTTAATTATCTTCTGCAATAACAGATTTTACTGTAAATGATATCTAGAGCCTATGTCTTGTCTTAAAAAATTTCCATTCGTTTCTTTGCAGCCATTTTGGAATGTGGCAGGCTCTTCTACTGCTAGAAGCAGAGGGGTTGTAGGTAAGGAGCCTATGAAGCATTTCTTCTCTACTTGTGGTGCTTTATTCTTTTGGTCCACTACTAGCTGGAAAAGGCTCTAACTATTTTTTCCTGCCTTTTTAGGTGTTCTAGAAGCAAACTTTATTCAGCCAACTCATAATAAACAGGACTTCGAGAAAACACCCCTCTTTCAAAAGCTCGAGAACCGATTAAAGGAGATGACATGGGAGTACTGGTAGGCTATTACTTGAAGAACTATATGCCTACAAACTGCTGTTTAGCACTGAGTTGTATCGCTCCTATTCCTGGGCAACTAGTTTATCTAACTTCTCCACATGGATTATACACCAATAAACTGCTGTTTAGAAAATTAGCTGAATCCCAACTGTCTTGGACCGCCATTTTACATTCTATGCATGTATTTCTGTCTTAAGCAAGGAAATGAGAAATGTCTATTTAGCTTCTCAAATTGATTGCTATTGTTTATCATTCTGGATGCCCTTTTTTGCTTGTTCTTTGTGTGATTCTTGTTAATTGAATGTTTATTTGTTGATTGATTGATTTTATGTATTTATCATTTGATTTTGACAGGGATTATCACTGTGGACTAATTGGTTATCATGCAACTAAAAGGCTTCGTAAACCTTCTCAGGTTTCATCAGAATCTAGACAGAAACATGGTACGTATCACCCCATTCCGTTGAGCAAAATGTCCTCTGTTGTTACTGGTGCCAAAGTTTTCTGTACTTCCTTCCCAAATAACACACAAGATGTTGACGGACCAAAAACAAATAGAGTTGTTGTCATTATGTGCATATTTCGGTGGGGTTTGGATGATTCCTCATTTCAAGGAGGATTTTGTAGCAATTTGTGAAACGAACAGAAGTTGGTGGAATCATCAAAGAATGTGATATGATAGTCTGTACCTGGATATGTCTTCTTGTCAGTAACTTGCCAAGGGAGTTGAATCTCTTAACTTGCAAACATCGTATCAAACGAAAGCACAGCTAACACGTGATACAGTTTGAAAATATTGTTTATTGTGCCCTAATCTTCTCTAATTTTTAGTGCTCCTGGCACATAATAGATATACCAAATACATCCACAATAGGAAGATCTGCAAGTTGAAATTAATGGTGTCTAACTTCTGAATGATGGCTTAAAAACAGTAGTATTGTAATATATCCCATCAGACATTATTTAGTATTTGATCAATTAGGGGGACACGGAGATATAGAAGAATGTATCATAATTCATATTAGATGTATTGTTTGGGAACTTGTTGCTGTCTCCTGTCTTGCATGTGTTCGCAGATTGCATTTTCATATACTTTTATCCACTGGACATACAGTATTAATGCATAAATTTCTCTTTGATCCCTCGAGGTTGTTCAACTTTCATTTCACCTCTATTTGCTATAAGAATAGGTCTTACCCTTGGCCTTTAACAACCCGATGAGTTTGCGCTATACATTTCCGTACTACCCGTAAGCACCTTTTGTCATTAGTACCTCTCATACAATCTTTTGCGATTTACAGCAACCACGAAAAGGAAAGACCATGATCATTCAATAGAACCTGAAATTCTGAAACGAAAGGCGGGATTAAGGGTCAATCTAACTGGTCCCGAGTCCATTCAAAATCCGGTTTGTGTCTACGAACTTTCCTCCACTTATTTTGACTTCAATAATTGACTGTGAAACTTAGCATTATGTTTTAAAATTTTGTCCATGCATTTCAGGTCATTCTCTGCTTTTGTTTTAATCTCTTCTTTATGTTTAACTGAACATAGCCTGCCACCACTACCACAAGTCACTTGGAAGATCAAGAGTTGGTCCTCCTCCTTAAAGAGAACAAAAGGCTCTACGCACGATAAGTTCAAAATGAGTCACTTGACTTCTTTTTTATCCTAATTATTCCCACCATGACGGTATTTGCTTGGACACGCAGTTTAAGGAAGAATGAAAAACTTTTGACACGATAAATAACATACTAAAACTACCTTAGGATCATGTGCTCTTCTACTTGTTATTTCATCCCTATAAGAGCATGTCATTAAGAGAATGAGAATTTTAAAATAAAAAAGTTAACAAATATAAAAAGGTGTCAATCTTTTTGGAACAGAACAAAAAGGAACAATGTTAGATAAATAGAATGGAAGAAGTAGAATTCCAAATTCCAAATTCCAAATTCCAATTGCACCCGTACTTTTGGGCAAGTACAATTCAGAAAGATATATATACTTAGCTCATGAATGCCAGCACTTTGCCTTCTTCCTTGTAAATGTTATGTTCATGATAACCAGCAGTTTTGCATTCTCCCTTCTCGTATACATCGTGGAGTTGTTACTTGTAACATACTAGTCTTTTCAGATGCTCTTTTCTAAAGTTCCCTTTCATGTGCTTTTTCTGTCCTTCAGATGCTCTGAATATGAGAAGATGGATGAGGAACTTAATGCTAAGGTAATCCTAAGAGAGTTTGCTTTAGCTGTTGTGTTTTGATGTTCCAGTTGAACGGTGGCATCTAGTTTCAAGTTTTTGCTCTAGTATATTATGAAAGATCTTGAGAACCATGTATTGTTTATGCAACCTTGGTAGGTAACTTTGCTAAGGAAGGAACTGAAGGAAGCCCAGCGCGAATACGGTCGGTTGCTAATTGAATCAGGATCCCTGGAGTACCCCAAGATGGAAAGTACTGTTACTCTATAGATAATACTTGTTATAGTGCTCGTATGTATATATTTTTGTAAACTTTAAGAAATCCCTCGCTCAACTTCTTGTGCTTGTAAGAAATGGAGCTAACTTGCTATAGTGCTTGTATGTACATATTTTCTGTAAACTATATATTTTTGTTTAAGAAATCGGATGTAGCGTCTGCTGAAACTAGCAGGTTCTTCTTCTGTCTGTGACCTTTAAATCTGCACATTTGCTTGTCCCTTCCATATAGGGGCAGATACAGGTGGAAGGGAGTGGGGTTCACGTGCACTTGTACTCCCCTTCCTAAATTATTATAGTAATGCTATCTCTTTAAAACTACAAAATATATGTGCACCCAAGATCAAAAAATTCGATGGTATAATGATTACTGTGTGTACCTCTACAAGGCTAGGAGTTCAAATCCATGTTGATCTTGTTGCCCTTTCCTTTCTTTTTCTAGAATTAGATCCACCTATGAGAGACAGGCGTATGTGGTGTCACCTCTTGCGTTTTAATTAAGCGTTTTTTTCTTTTGGTTTATTCTTGCAAAATTCCCTAGTCTCAAACATTGAAATCCCTATCCTACTTTTGTCACCAAAAAACCAAATGTTTGAGTCTAAAATAGTGTAGGTGGAGTATTATAATTCCGTTGTACAACAACGGGGTTATCCGAAACTGCATCAACTATAAGGACATCAAACTGTTAAGTCACACTATGCAAGTCTGGGAGAGAGTGCTGAAGATGAGGGTGAGGAGGGGTGTGTCGATTGTCGAGAACCAGTTCAGTTTCATGTCGGGGGCAATCAGCTAGTGAAACCATTTATACTGTAAGGAGATTGGTGGAACAATATAGGGAAAGAAAGAGGGTCTTATATATGGTGTTCATTGACCTAGAAAAAGCATACGACAAAGTTCCAAGGGAAATTTTATGGGATGTTTAGAGGATATAGGGGTACTCATACATTAAGGCGATTAAGGACATGTATAATTGAGCCAAGACCTGTGTAAGGTAGTGGGAGGAGACTTGGGAGATTTTCCTGTCAAGATGGGGTTGCACTAGGGATCAACTCTTACCCCCTTTTTTATTCGCCTTGGTGATGGATGTATTGGTGTGACACATCCAAGGGGAGGTGCCATGATGTCTGTTATTTGCAGATGACATAATACTGATTGACGAGACGTGAGGTGGAGTTAATGTGAGGCTGGAGGTTTGGAGACAGACTCTGGAGTCTATAAGTTTTAGGTTGAGCAAAATTAAAACAGAATACTCGGAGTGCAAGTTTAGTGACATGACTTACGAGGCAAACGTAGAAGTGAGGCTTGACACACAAGTCATCCCCAAGAGAGCAAGCTTCAAGTATCTTGATTCTATCATCAAGATAATTGGGAGATTGACGAGGATGTTACACATCGTAGCAGAGTGGGTTTGGGTGAAATGGAGGCTTGCATCTGGTATCTTGTGTGATAAGAATGTTCCACAAAGCGTTAAAGGTAAGTTCTATAAGGTGATCATTAGACCGACGATATTGTATGGGGCGGAGTACAGACATCTAATAATTCTCATGTTCAGAAGAAAAAGTAGCAAAAATGAGGATGTTGAGATGGATGTGTGTGTGTGTACTAGGAGATATGATTAGGAATGAAGACATTTGTGACAAGGTAGAAGTGGCCCTCGTGGTGGATAAGATGCAGGAAGCAAGACTAAAATTGTTTGAGCATGTGAAGAGGAGATGCACAGATGCCTAATTGAGGAGGCGTGGGAGGTTGGCGATGGGAGGTCTTAGGAGAGGTAGAGGCAGACCGAAGAAGTATTGAAGAGAGGTGATTAGGCAGGATACTCACTTTCATCTTACCGAGAATATAGCCATGGATAGGAGGACGTAGATGTCAAGAATTAGAGTAGTAGGTTAGGAGGTAGTAGTAGCAGTCTCGTATTTCTTTGTCTTATATTTCTATTACTACCTACTGCTTCTTTTGCTTCGATTTTTCCATTATCTTGTTGTAGCTACTACTTCTCTTTTCATAGCTTCTTTACTACTTTATTTCCCTTTTACTACTGTCGGTTTTTGCTTTCCTTGAGCCAATGGCCTATTGGAAATAATCTCTCTACCTTTACAAGGTAAGGGTAATGTCTGTGTATACACTTTCCTCCCCAGATTTCATTTATAGGATTACACTTGGATTGTTGTTATTGTTGAGCCTAAACTAGTACTAGTAGTGAATGATGTACCATAACGTCAATATATTCAATTGAACTAATAATTTTAACTAATATATATATGCAGAGCAATATAAATGTAAACTTGAGCAAGAGTAAAATAAATAAAAATTTGATTGTTATTGAAACTTAAAAATTGATAATACAAGTTAAAAACTTATAATAATATACTAGAGAGAGCTCTAATCAATTCTAGAGAGAGGGAGGGAATTCTTTCTCAAGTGGTAGTGTAAGGTGTGTGTTTTACAAGTGATAGGGGGCTATTTATAGCCAAAAACTAAAAATTACATAGTGTTTTCTAATGTCATTCATGATATCATTAGAAGTAAGTACTAACTGATATCATGGATGATATCAGCTGTGATATCACATTGATATAGTTTCTTATTAATTTCTTAGAATATTAAATCACGGTCTTTTTCTTCCTCTTCTTCTGATGATTTTTCAGACAAAGATGCTTGATTTTTGTTTACCGAGAAAATGGTAATAACAATTAAATTTGTTATAGGACTCTAAAACTACGTGATCTATTTTTATGCTAGTTTGTTAAGCAGTTGATGCTATGTATGTGAGACTTAGAAATGAAATAAGAATTAAGGATAGGGTGATAATCAAACCGCTGGGCCAATTATCGGGGCCTCGAGCTCACTGATTCGGGGCCTCGAGGTCGATTCCGAAAGTTCGGCAAGGAGCTATCAAGGGGGTTCGGAATACGGTTAACAGTTATACTAAAATTAACGGAGGTTCTTTATGGCCAATGATAGGCAATAAATGATGAACAAGTATGAAGATAATAAATAAAGACAATAATATCAAGAGAGTATGTTAGAGAGTAAATAGAATGTTCTTGTATATTTCGTGTGGAGCAGATGAAGCAATAGGAACTTACAAAGTGATAGGGATCCCCTTTATATAGGAGGGCAATCCCATCATAGTACAACAAACATTAATGACAAAGAGGTAGGGATGTGACAGCTAGCCAATGTCATGGTGCAGGTTCAGACTAGCCTCAGACTAGCCTGACAGATTTCATCGGCCCTGGCTGCACTCCTTGGTAACTCCCCATATCTGTTGTGGTCGCGACCAACATTATCCCTAGGTCGGGCATCGACAAACCTCGAGGGAGGAAACTCGGCCATAACCTAGCAGCCTCGAGGCTTCGAAATGATCCTCTGCAATGCCTTAATGCCGAGAAATGGGACCCTCCGATTTTGCCGTATACAGATAGTCCCTGCGTTTCTTGGAGAGGAGCGATAAGAAACGACCTTGACATCTGACTCCTCGGACTTCCCGTGATGATGCCATACTGATGATGCAAGCCTACGTGATTATCGAAACATTTCGTCGTTTCGCTTCTCCAGGATCATTCAAAGCATTGCGGTTTCTCATTCTTCAAAGCCATAATGTCGCCGCTGATTCAGCTCCCAAGGATGCATTAAATGTACCTGCCATTACGTCTTTCAAGAGCGATAATGGTGCCGTCAATTACGCTGCCTCCTTTTCTATAAATGGGAGCCTCCTGGGATCAACCTTTCATTTATGTCTACGGAGATTATGAATGCACGATTCTGTCGGTTAGTGCACATATCGAACCCAGAAGCGAGTGTTCTTTCTGACTTTCGGTTGATAAAAACGGCTTCTCGCAGAATCCTTTGTCGTTCCTTGGGCCAAACCTGGATTGATCCGATAAACTCGGGTCGTCGGGATCCTTACTTTGAGTCGAATGGAAGTAGGGCTTCGAACCCCTAAACTGAGACTTAGCCTTTAGACCTCTAAGAGCAGTCCCCGAGTGAGGGTTGATTCGGGGCATTTGGAAACTTGTCTTGAACTTAATGTATGTAACCTTAAGGCATTGTAGATAGGTCCTGGATGGGGGACTGCCCGGTTTTAGATAATATCCTGAGGATGAACCTTATGGACGGAGCTTGAAGTGCTTATTATTCTTCCTGAGAGGGGCCTTCAAAATCGGGTATCGTCTTGCAATGCTGTTAAAGGCTTCCTGGAGCCTAACTTATTTTTCGAAGGAGGTCCTCGAGGTCGGGTACAACCTCGGGGCTGGTGATGATGCTGTTGGCTTCTTAAAGCCTAACTTCTGTTTGATGGAAATCCTCGAGGTCGGGTACCACCTCGGGATTTGGCGATGATGTCGTTGGCCTTTTAAGACCTAACTTCTATTAGATGGAGATCCTCGAGGTCGGGCACCACCTCGGGATTGGCGAAGATGCCATTGGCCTTTTAAAACCTAACTTCTGTTGGATGGAGATCCTCGAGGTCGTCTACCACCTCGGGATTGGCGAAGGCGTTTTTGGCTTCTTGGAGCCTAACTTCTTTTTTTATGGAGGTCCTTAAGATCAGGTACCACCTCGGGACTAGCGAAGGCATTTTTGGCTTCTTGGAGCCTACACTTCTTTTTTATGGAGGTCCTTAAGATCAGGTACCACCTCGGGACTAGCGAAGGCATTTTTGGCTTCTTGGAGCCTACACTTCTTTTTTATGGAGGTCCTCGAGGTTGAGTACCACCTTGGGACTAGCAAAGGCGTTTTTGGCTTCCTAGAGACTAACTTGTTTTTGATGGAGATCCTCGAGGTTGGGTACCACCTCGGGACTAGCGATGATGACATCGATCAATGTTTCTAATCGGCTTTGGGGTAGGCGGACCGTCGCTGTTTCTTCCATGTATAAATATAGGGTTGACTCTGCTCTTTTTTGGAGATTCCACCATTTTAAGTAGTTACCCTTCTTTTTTTGTGCTAGCCTCTCGTTACTTCAGCACTAACACACGCTCATATTCCCG